TTTGATGATAACTTACTACAGGGTATTCTACTATTTTTGTGAGAGAATGGAAGACAACCAGAGATAATTTTGGATGTAAAACACAACTAAAATTCTGTAATTCATAAAAACGCTTGTACTTCAATATGGATTTGAACCTCAGGAGAAAATTTAACAGCTGTAGATTCAGGAGGAGACATGCTATAACTTTAGTTTTTATATTTTTGGTACAGACAATGTCTTAGGTACAAATAAAAGAATAAGCATGTGTATAGATCTATGTAGTAAGATATCTTAGATATATATACATGCATCTACACTACAGGTATGGTAGTGGCATATTTGGCAACACACGTGTGTATCCATACCCATGAATACATATGTAAATGTAGCAATGTTTGTGATTTTGATAATAGTTTTATTTTTATTATTTTGGTAATATTATTATTATTTGCATGAATAATTTGGTTAAATGTGAGTATCAATCGCTTTTGTCTTTAATTCTATGACAGCTCTTGGAGTTACTGAGAGGAGATGTGAGCGTGTTTTAATTTGTAAATTCTATTTTAAAAAGCACCTGAATGTGGGTGCTTTGTTCATCTATAGCCATGTTTAGATGAGGAAGTTAGCAGGCAAATTTGAAATTCAATAGGTAATACATGCTCATTTCCTTTATTAACACTATTTCCTGTATTAACACTAAGTGTACAGAGTAAGTTAGAATAAACATGCAGAATAATTTTTCATGCAAAGGAAATAGATGTCCATAATATAAGACAGAGAGGAATTACTATTTCAGATTATAGTTATAGGTAAATTTGAGTGGGATAAAAAGTAAATTATCCTCTATACATTGAATGGTATTTAAGCAAGTTGCAACCCAGAGTAGGTGAAAGGTTGCCATCAGAAAGGGATTTATCTCACAATAGACTGGAAAAGAGAGTTTAACAGTAAGAGAAGCTAAAAGCTATCATCTTGTGAGATCTAGATCGTTTTCATGGATGCACTCATATATCTAAATATTTTTGTATGGGTTTATATTGCAGAGATTGTAATGAAGTCTTTATGGCTGATTTTAAAGTAATTCCATGATGACTGATTTATCTCATGTGCTTGCAAATCCCAGAGTTCTTTGTAACCATCATTACTCAATAAAAATATTGTAACAACATTTCTAAATCCAAATCTTACACTTTTCTCAGTTAAAGAAAAGTAATAATTTATAAGTTCCCCATTGTTTTTTATTGTGGAAGCCCTCAGGTGTAACATCTGATTCGAAAATACCTAAATCCTTTCCAGCACAGTAAGTGCTCTAATATACCATTTCATTTTACTCATGACAGTTTCTTCTTCCATTAACTATTCCTTCAATAAAAAGTGTCTTACAGTTCATATTAAATTAATATAAGTAGCAAATATTTGCCTTGCAGGTTCATACACAGCTAGGAGCTTTTAATTTACATACCAAAAACTACACTGGCCAAAATATTATTGAAAATAATATTGTCTGATGGTCTGTTGTCTGATGCTGTGCTAACATTTACATAGACAAGAGAACTCCAAAGGATGAGTGCAACGTCCCTTTCACATTTCACAAGTCTCATTTTTCTTCCAGACAGAACTTGAAAAACATTTTACTCTTCATCCTACGATTTATCATAACTAATTAATTTCCATAAATTGGGAGAATCGCAAAGATTCACCTGAAGACCGTTAGACAGATCACAGGTTTAATATATGCTGTGATTGAATTACTGCAGGTATCAAGTGTATTATAAATGAAATAAGAATTCTGAATGTATGTTTTAATTCATCTTAAAATTTTAAATCTGCAGTGCAATACTTGAGATGTAGCTAAAGGTTTTTTCAGAAAACTGTAGCAATAAATGCATGCTCATTTGTCTCGTGTCACCTGCCAAGGACACATATTTAGAATTTGTTTTCCTGAACTTGCCTCCACTGCCATTCCTTGAGATGATTAAAATCTATAGTTCTACCAGAACCCAGAGCATGGATGCTGTCTGTAAATAGTGGCATTTTTGCTGTGGCCCTTAGAAGGACAAGACTTAAACCGAAGCCAAAATGTAACAGCTTCCTTGTGGACCCCTGAGCATACAGCAATTACAGATCAGGTGAGACATTGCCAAGGCAGCAGCTATATAACTTTGTGAATCAACACAACTACTTTTGTATTTATATCTAATTACAATAATCTACAATAGTCAGTGCTTTGGTCAGAGTTCCTTAGTCAAGGCAAGAGCAAAGCCTGAAGTAGATTCTGATCCAAATTGCCAAATTTTTCCACTCACATTCACCTTCAAGGGGAGCAAGGACAGCTCAGCACTCTGTGCACTGCACTCACAGGGGTTTACTTTCATCAAAACACCACCAAACTATGAGAGCTAGGAGTCAGATGGTTTCATAAGGAATGAACACAGACAGCAATTACACTGGGTAAAATGGGTAAATTTCTTGTAAGTTATTTGGGCTTCTCATGCCCTGTAACCATGGCAAGTGCTCTCTCAAATGGAAAATGCCCAGCAGCTATTAAAATAGTATTATGACAAACTCAATTTGATTGTCTTATGGATAGCTTGAAATTGAATACACCAAGGTCATTAACCTTCAATACCCAAATTTTATTTTTCTGTAATTATGTTTTCTAAACACAGGAACTCTGTATATCAGAGCCAACAATACACACATTACACCACTGAACAAAAGTTGACCTTCACATTTAGAATTCATGGACAAAAATACTTTTTAGAGCAAGCATTTATTTTAGACTATTTCCCCTTCTGAGGGATATTCTGAATTTCAGGTTAAGCTGTTTTCCTTCCTTTGTCATGATTTGCCCCTAACTATGTAATAAAAATGCTCATACAATTCACATTGTATGGTAGTTATTAGCTCTTCTATTGCTCTTGTGTTGTTTGGAAATAAGTATGTATAAACTCAACTTGCCCATTCTTTATTGTGCAGTGGCACGGGATTATAGCCCTTCATTTAAAATTCTGGGTGTGTTTTATAGAGTAATAACTGCCTGAAAGCATTGTATTCTTCATGATCACTCTTTCAGAACATGAGATCTCAATTCTTATTGTGACCTTCAATGCAGCTGCACTTAAGGTAATTTTTCCTTTCATTGCCGTCTCAACACTTGGCACGTTTAGAGACCCCTCTTAGAAACTGTAGCACATACAAGCCTATTTCAGAAGAAAGTTTTCACTCCAAGCAAGCAGTTGGTTTGCGACAAACGTGTTGCCCTCCTTCATAAGGTGATGTATTTAAAGTCATATTGTAACCCACTTTTACTAACAGTTATCCACATTTACGGACAAAAGAAACAGCGTCAAAGGAAATGGCTGAAAATGAAATGAGAAGGACAAAAGGGAGATAAAGCAGTAAGTGATAGAGCACCCTACATGTCTGTATAATAAGGGAAAAAAATCAAATTGGCAGAAATCGTGTGCATTCTTTTTATGTTGACTTGTATTTAGGATTTAGTTACTTGTGGAACAAAATCACAGTTTTTTTTTTTGTGTGTGTGCACAGGACCTAACAAAGTGGGTCCCAAAGCATATCTACAGATTTCACTGCTACAGCCTGGTTTCTCAAAGACCTGAGGATTTGGATCTGAGAATCTGTAGTGCCTCCTCATTACATTCCGTGTTAACATCTATTTCCTAGATGTTAGAAATGGGGAAAGCAGCCGATTCTCTGTTCCACCTCTGCTAATAACAACAATCTTGTGTATGAGCTATGGTTTTAAACAAAGGTAATTTGATGTTTCTCTCAGTTTAGGTCCTATAGATTACTGTTAAGTACACATAACTTACACTATTAAAAGCCTCATTTGTTAGGACATAGAGGAGAAACATCTATCTTGCTGAACCTCCTGAGCATAGCAAAGAAAAAATAAACCACTTAATTCAGCACAGGGCAAAGTTCTTGCCTTCCTTCAAAGCGTAAAAGTACAGTTCTGTTCTTAAACATAAGCTGATAGAGTTCATCTATCTGTAGGTACAATTGCTTAATTATCATGGTGAAAAAGAGAGTCAAAAAATCACCTATCTCATCACAAAGGGAACAGCAACATACAAATGGTAGACCTGAAATCAGACAACAGTATTTTCGTTTCGTCATTGCTTGAACCAGGATCAGAATCAGTTTCACACCGGCTTTATTTTGTTAGCCTGGCCATTTTTGTGATCTCATCTTTCAAAATTTTTTTAACCCAAAATATCCTTGTGAAGTACTTCAAGACTACTTTTACTCAGTTAAATTCTGGTGATCTTTTAAAACAAATAGGCCAGATAATGCTCTGTGACATAAAAGCACTCTGGTGTAAACCAGTGCCTTCAAGAGGATTCTTCATGGATACAGAGATCTGAGCTATCACATTGCAGTGGAGGGTCAAGGCCTCATTCTCAACATTCCATAGGGATGCTGAACAAACTTTGCATTAACAGCACTCACCCTTACTGGGAAACTGTGAACAGTTTTGTTTGCCATTCCTGTCCTGCAAGCGTGTGAATGTTGCATTGCATCTCTCCCTAAACCAAACTCTTTTAAAACAAAACTGAAAGCACTGCAATCCAAAGGCTGCCAGTGTATCTAACTTATACCATTATGCACAGACTCAGAATTTCAAAATTACATATAGTTGACTTTTTTTAAATAATTGAAGGTATTTTATTAATCCCTATTGTTCCCTGCATACATACGACATATAAAAATTGATGGTCTTTTTGATATTTAGCAAATATTAAGTTGGATGTTTTATTTCAACTAAAATCCTGTACAGCAAAATAGCACAGGTATCACAACTAAAAATAGTGCTTCAGTGCAAAATATGGAAAATTCAGTTTGTTTTCTTTTGTTGTAGGACTGTATGATTTTTCTTCAAATGCATAATAATAAGGAAAAAAAGTGCAAAATCTATTTAGCATGATGGAAAACAGAGGATTTTTTCAAGTAAACATCATCTGGCATTCACATCTTTCTCAAAGCCACAGCTGTGAAAGGGATGCACTCAGACCAAAGATGTCTTCCTGTAAAAGAGGAGCAGTCTTGTAACAAGTTTGATATTCTACACACTCCAAGAAGTTCACTTTTTTTTTCTATTTGAACACATCAGAAGCAAATATCATTGCACCTTAAAAAGTACATATGTGGGCTAAAGAAAAGTTCATAGTAAATAGTTTCATGGTTTGTTTCTGTCTTTAATCTGCTTTTAACTCATATCCAAGGTTGAATGCCATTTAAGGAGATGACTGCTGCCTAAAACATCAGATTGAGTTCTCCTGTCTCAACATTATAAACCAAAGTAAAATTAGACCTTTGTCTTCCAAATGATGTGGATATATGCTTTGTTTTATGCACTTCAGACAGTTTCTACTTCCAACAGTTCCAGATCCCTGGGAAGCTGTGCACCTGTATCAGGCCAAAGTATAACAGTGCCCTTGTACCTCATGTTTAATGCTTGTTACTGAATAGGTCAGGTTGGTGACTTTGCTCTGAAAAGTTAGAACCTTGCCCTATGTGGCTGAGCTCTGTTTTATTTCTGTGCAGTTAAAACATAAGGAAATAAAGTATCTTCTCACAAAAGCAAGACTATCAGTCCCAGGGATGGCTTTGTTCCATACAGATGGCAGGGGAAAGCAATTTTCAAAAAGAAAGACTCAGCAGAGGAAAAATGCAATTGTAAAAAAATCTACTGTGGTGAAGCACTGATATAAATCAGCGTTTATGCAAGCACTTCACAACACTCCTTTTAAGAATACATGAAGGGCTTGAAAATAATGTCTTTACTGTGTTTGAACATAAAGAATCTTAGGTACCATCCAAAGACAAAACACAAACTTTCTGGTTGCTGGTGCTTGTTTCTCAAGGGATATTGTTATTTTCTAAAGGCAATAGAAATTACTAAACTTAATTTCTGCCTACTTCACCAAAGAAAAGTTCTCAGTGTTGAAAGAATCTTAGGACTGAGCCATTGGATTTTAACCAATGTAGTATCACAGTCATTTGGTGTCAATTAGCCTGATCAGTTAACCTGTTTTCTCAGTAGTTGATGTTGTCTAAAGAGGAACTACAGGAAAAAAGGAGACAGGCTATTCAGCAGGATCTGTGGTGACAGAACAAGGGGAAATGGCTTCAAGCTCAAAGAGGGTAGATTTAGGTTAGATATAAGGAAAAATCTTTTACAGCGAGGGTGGTGAGGCACTGGAACAGGTTGCCCAGAGATGTGGTGGATGCCCTGTCCTTGGAGACTTTCAAAACGAGGATGAATAAGGCCCTGGGCACCCTGATGTAGCTGGGGTGTCTCTGTTCATTGCAGGGGAGTTGGACTAGATGGCTTTCGGAGGTCCCTTCCAACTCTAAGGACTCTATGATTGTTACAAAGTAATGCAGAGTGGGGCTGCTGATAGGATCTTCCCCGGGTTGAGAAGACCATCTCCACCGCCATTTGGAATGTGGTTTGTCTTCCACATCACTGCTGCAACCACTGAAATACACCACTGTGCTGATATCTGTTGTTTGCTTACCATGAAAACATTCAGTGTCAATGACCATCTACGGGTGCAACTTAGTCTTATTATTGTGATTAGACTCAGCCCATTGATGCAGCCTATCCATAGCCTTCTGCAGAGCCTTCCTATGCTCAGTCAGATCAGCAGTCCTGCCCAACATGGTGGTTTCTACAAACTTACTGAAACTCAGTCATTAATAGTTAAACAAATCTGGACCCAGTACTGTGATCTGGGGAGTGCCAGAGGTGAATGGCTACCATGTTTGAGCACCTTCATAGTGGCAGTCTCTTCTATCTGGGAGTTTGTGCTATAGCATGAGCCTGGTGCCTCTCGTCCTTCCTCCACTTAATACCTCTGGGAAAGGTCAGGTTTAATCTTCCATGCACCTTGTAGGCAACTGCAGCCACCACTCAGAACCTCCCCAAGCCTTTTCTAAAGCTAAGCAAAAGCAACTCCCTCTCACTGTCCTGGGACGCTTGGTGCCCTGAGCTCTCCCCAGTCCCAAGGCCCTGGGATGGGACTATAAAATGAAACATAAAACACAAAAATGATGAACCCAGCTGCTCACTTCAGCTTTGCCTGTCCAGGTCAGGAACAAGCCTCAGAGATGACCTAAGGTTTTAGGTGCCTATTTCCATGCCTGCATACAAGCCACTACCTTGTTTCTGAGCCTTCTGTTGAGCTACTGGTCCTAGGTTCTTTTACAAACAGGTCACTCTTCAGACATCCTAGTATTGTCTTTCCCAAAAACGTTTCAGAATCTAATGTCAAGAGAAGTCGTTACCATGCAGCAGATGGCAGCAGAGGCGCAGTCTGACAAAATGGCATCTGACATAGAAATGTGCATGAAGCAAAGGTGTGGAATTGAAATCCTCCATGCAGAAAAAAACATAATGGCTCTCATTGACATCCATTGACATCTGCTGATTTTTATAGAGATCAAGAAGTGGATGTGAGCACAGGGAGGCAGCGGGTGGTGTGTTTCAGCAGTGGCAACAGTGACACGGTACAGATTTTGAGGACCACAGCATGCAGGCTCTTGTTCATCACTAGCAGAAATGCATAGCTGATGATGGAGAAAAACTATGTTCAAAAACAGTGTTTTGTTGCTGAAAATTTGCTCTATCAAATAATGCTACTGTGGTCTTTGTATCTGTTGTAGTTTCCATTGAAATAAACAGGAAGTATTACCTTCAGAGGGACCTACGCATTTTATATGCAGCCCAAGACAATTCCTCTTCACTCAGTGTGGTCCAGGCAAGGCAAAAGGTTGGATACCCACACAATTCTAATCAGAACCACGCTTTTCACCTTCGTGACTTTAGCACATCAGAACAGATAAACCTACGTAACCTTTATGGCAAGTGATGCAGTGACATTTCTCCATTAAAATCTCAAAAGAGCCTTTGAAGTGTCCTTAGTTTGTCATGTCTGAATTGGATTTTAACTGAAAATTCAACAATGAGTTATAATCTCAGCAAAGAGCTCTTGAACATATATTTTGTCATCACTGTATTGTCACTGAACTGAGAAGGACATCTCAGATTCTGCAGTCTCATGGTTATTTCATCCTAGACCAACTGACTGAATACTGTGTGTGGTCACAGTGCTTAGGAGCAATCAATCTTGTTCACCAGGAAAAAAGGTTAGATGGAAAGCAAAAACAAAACCAAAAATAAAATCCAGTGTAAAAGAGAAATACTAATAACAAACAAGTGATGCTGCCAAGCTATTGCTTCAACCAGGAGCTACAAAACTATACTGATGCTAACACAGAATGAAAATAGAAGTAGTAAAATGAATATTGCCATTAATAGTTCTGAGGGAACTCAAAAGTTCTCTTTACAAAAGCTTCCTGTGCTAGTAGGAATCTAAAATCTAGTAGGACCTTTTATATCTTATTGCTCACCGCCTTTCTGTCAGAGCCAAAAGTCCCAGTAGCTTACTCTCATCTGGATTTGCAAATTAGTCATGCTAAATCTAAACAAAGATTTCTTTAAAAACACATCTGAATATGTTGCGTGATTTCACTGGCTTCTTTATCCTTTACCAACTGGACACCATATCTTGTTTCCCCAGAAAAGCACCCTGACCTTGAGGCTGTAGGGAGATGTACAGCAGAGTGCATAGTGTGTGGGGGTAGAGAGAGAAAGCTAAAGGGATCATGATTCTCTAATCCAGTGATTAGGACTCCTTCTCTCTTCCAGCAAACTAAAAAATATCTGTCTCCAGATATACTCAACTACACCCAAATAACTTAAAGATTAATTCTTATTTCAGTTTATATGTTTGAGTTATGGAGACATCAGGGATCTCAAGAGAAACCAGGTATAAAGAACACATGGATAGAAAAAAAAAATATATTCTTTCAGGTAGCTATTGTCTTTGTTCTTCAGTATTCTGTCTGGGCAAATCTGACTCTCCCCTTGTAGTGTCTATAGAAGTCAGACATTTAAAGTCACTTATTGCACGATCAGAGCAAGAGACTTAAGAAGATGGCACATCTAAATTTCTTTCTGGAACAATCTTTACTCAATCATGAAAACAGCTGCAGTTCAGTAAGTTATCAATTTAGCAACGTGTTTTATAAGGCCTGCAAACATGTCAGTACTTGCTTTGATATCCATGGGGATAATCTCTCCTGCCATTTTTAATAGAGATTGGCGTCACTCTTGGTTTTTTGTAAAAGTAGCTTTGCTTTTAAGAGTTGCAAGAAAACTCATATAGCCTTTTCCATCCATATCCTCTGAGAAGATTGTTCAGAAATCCCTGTGTTGCTAGGCTAGCAATTCCCTTGATGGTAGCAGTAGAAGTGCCAACAGAGACAGCCATGTGGGCTGCTGAAGCTCAGCTTTAAGAAGATAAATACTGGAAAGTTGTTAGCATGTACATTTGAAACTCTGATTTCAGTTCTAAACTTGCCCCTGTATAAGTTCTGAACTCCTGCCTTCCAGCAGAAGCTCCTGTTCACGTAGATGAATATAAGATGCTAATTTCCTTTAGGTTTCCATTGCTCTCAGTTCAAATTGTGTAGCTGGAAGTGCTCACTGTTGAGGGATGCTGCTGTATTTTATCATTCATCCAGCTGAACTGAACATCATTTCAAGAAATCATTCTGGACAATGTGGAAATTGCTAAATGAATGAAAGAAAGAGTCTTGGGTATTTTCTATGGAATTCATGCTGTCAGAAAGAGCATCTGTTTTCTCATGTGCTGCATTAGCTCTACACATATGAACTGAATTTAACAACAGTGTAGGATTATCTCTCTAAAACAGTGTGTTGTATTTGTGGAGTTACTTTATATAGTTTTCTAAAGAATATGTTGGGCCATTGGACTAGCAGCATTTTTAGCACTTCATTGTTTGCAGTGTTTAAATTCTATATGAGAGACATGTATCAAAACCAAATGATGTTTCTCTTTTCATAACTGCAGCAGATTCTGAATGTCCTGAGGCTATGAGTGACTGGCACAGAGATTAGATAGCACTGCATAACAGCAATGGCTGGAGAACAGTAGAGCTGCATATACTGCTTTAAACATGTATCATTTTAAAAATGTGACTCAGATGAAGGAATATTTTGTGGTCAGATAAGTTACAAATTATTTACAAACCAAGTCTACATTGCAGCATTGCTGAAATAAGAACAACGGACAATAATATGGCATAAGGTTTAGTTATTTTTTCTCTGAAACATGTGAGGCATGCCACTGCCCTAACTTCTCCGGGGGTATTTAGATTGAAGGTATAAAGGTCTTTGATTACATTCCAGGTTCATGCCACAATTTGTCTTTCTTCAGGATACTGTAGCAGTGAACTAAAGAAAGTAGAAGGAAGGAAAAAAAGACTAGCATGCAATGCAAACATCAGAAATGTGCATTTGTAGAATTTGTCATGGTGTTTAATTGATACCCCATGTCTCCATCTCTTGGAATGGCTTCTGTTTATGGGTTGTGACTGTGTATATGCATCTGGAAACAGAACATAATATTGTAAATGAAAAATGATTGTAATCTTCTGAGCTGAAAGCATGGGATTGGAGATTATCTCCTCAATATCAACTCATACAAGCCCTTACCAGGTAGGTCCAACTGGTTGTTGTATAGCAAGACACACTGAAGATCTCCACATGCCAGTGCTAACCAACTCTCCTAAGGCTGTGCACCAAGTTTGTTGTGGTAAATGTTACCTCAACATATCAGTTGTAAAGATTACATTCAAGTGCAGTGAATTTGATCTCTGTGAGATATACTAGATTTACAGATCATGCTACACAAGTTGCATTGTGTGCTGTTTGTATGTGCTGTATGGCTGCAGTACACGCAGATATTTCATGACTGAAAAAGATACTACCAGTAGATTTTACTGAACCTGACTTGAAGACTTCAAAGAACTGGTTCACTGGGTAATTGTTACTTCATTTCTGAGAAGCTGTTTGTTGTGCTCTCCTCTTCCTTCCACAAACTCATTTTCTCTGCCTCTCAGTCTTCATTTCCATCCCATTCCCACCTTTCAATGTCTTTCAAAGCATGCCAAATAGTAAGACAACCAGACAGGTACTAGCAAGACCTCTTCATTCCTGCTACTGAAGTATAGCTGTTGCAACAGCAAGACATTTTTCTACACTCCCTTAGGTACTGCTTCACAGCACAAGTCTGAGTGCTCACTTAGCACCTAATTCAGTCTTCTGTCTTTTTTTTTTTTTTTTTAAACGATAACGACAACAGTGGTGCTGTGTAAGGAGATACCATGTATGATAATGGAAGGGGGGAAAGATGGGAGAGATGTTTCTGGCTGGGGGTCAACATGGATCAAAGGATCTTCAGTCAGCTGAAAGACTACAGTACCTCTTAATGTCTCTATGGTAGGAAACAGAGCACAGGTGCTACAAATCACTGGGGAAAGGCAAAAAAAAAAAAAAAAAAGCATACATTAAATACATCAGAAAGTTGTCTTTGCAGCCACAAGACCCGGACGTCTTTTATAAAGCTTCTGCTCTGCACAAAGACAGAAAGCTACAATGACATCTAACTCCCCAGAGCAGTTTCTAACAAAAACAAAGCAAAGTTTTTTCTCCATTTTACTTGTTTTAAAAAACTTTTATATTGACTTCAAAGGAAAAATATACTATGAAACACCCCATGTATTTATAAGCACAAACTGCCACTTTAAGAATAAACTAAGTAAAGCCACAAAATGCATAGCTCAGGCCTGTCAAAAACATATTACACTTAAATCAGAAGAAACATTTCACACTGCCTCCTCAAAACAATTTTACTAGCATTCTGTTTGACTATGAAATTAGTTGTGGAAACAGTAAACCTACCCAGCTTTAAATTGTTAAACGTCAGAGCTGGGGTTATGTTCACAAATGATGTAGAGCACCAACTGAATGACCTTTATTGAGTAAAAAATTTGTTGCAATCTCTGGTGAAGCCTTTCCATTGACATGACTTCAGATTAGGTGTTATGTTAGAATAAATACTGGCTATACCTAACAGTGAAGGAAACATTCAAGATACTACTTTGTTCTCCCTCCCTCCCGCCTGTCACTTCTTTCTCATGCATCTGCTAAAGCCCAAGGCTTATTGGAAACATTCAGAGCTGTCTTTGAAAACTAATCTGCATGGAAGAGAAATCGAAGTAATGACAACCTCTGCTCTTCCTGCTACTCTTGAATTGTGTACACAGATAAAAGAAACTAATTGTTTTTTCTGGGTTAAGGACCCGTTTGTGTCTCAAACTCAGGTAGCCACATGTTTTTGTTTTCCCTCATAAAACCAAAATGGATTGAAAATGAAATGGGCACCAATGGGCACCTTCAATTTAGGGAGTCATGATGGGGCTCCCTCCATTCTCTCATTTTCTCCAGGACTCTGAGAATTCATCTCTACACTAAATGACAAACTGTCTAAATGTGCTTGGGCTCAGAAACAAATCTCTCTAAATTCCCTAGGTTGGCAACACAGCACTATCTTTTTGGAATGGCATTCAGGTGCTTAGTTGTGTCCTATGCCAAGATGTGCTAAAAAAATGAATCTGGGCCTGTCTTCTTCCCATTGCAGTTCAGGGTGTGGTGTCAACACAGTAACTTGCTACCCTGGAAAGGATGCTGATTTGTTTGGATTCATCTTTTCAAAGAAAAATGTATCAGTCAGCCTACAGCACAGAATGATGTTTAAGTTGTGTGGCCTGCTTTTCTGAGCATGGGTATGGGCATGTTACATGAAGTGCCTCCTTAAGCAGCAGGCATTTTCAGAAGGGTGCAAAAGCAGAGTACCAGCCTAAGTACACAGCTCACAGACAAATGAGGAGCGCACAGATGGGATGCAGTGCCTGAAGCCCACATGGAATGAGCAACAGAACCGAGCACGCATTTTGTTTGGTGGTGATTGGGTAATGTCTGTGTGCTTGGTAGCGAGTCCTGATTTTGTATTTCAGTGTGGTCATGTGAATTTTGATGATGCTCAAGGAGCTAGCTATTTAATTAGTCACACCTGAGGGAATTTTCATTCACTAAGTGTTTGAGTGCCTTGCTCTTCTTATAGGACACTTCTGTTGTCACTGTATGAGAAGAACTGAACTTCTGTCAGTTATTTAAAATAAAACTTGTGAAAAACAGATGTAGAAAGAAATAAAGAACATGCTAAAAAATTTCTAATTCTTCCCTAACAAATGGGAAACTTACTAATATCTGTGGAAAATGCAACAGATAAAATAATAGGCCCTGGTGAATGATATATAAACTATTTCTTTATTGACTTGAAACCAACTGGTAAATTTACCAGATAGGGATAATTGCTATAGGCATGTTCATGCTTCTGCTACTGATCTAGCTGTTTAATTGCTCTTATAGGTTTGCTGTTCATTGGCTGTCACGTGTGTAATTTATGATCTAGTTCTTCAAAGCAAGGGACTCTGTACTTCGAGTCTCATCTATCTTCCTTGTAAGTACTGTTACAGAAAACTTCTGACAGGAGCATCAACTATAGATGCATAAAGCTATACAAAACAAGTGACTGAAAAAGCAATATACATGCTCAGAAAACCAATATAGTCAGCTTGCAAGATTCTGTGTGGAAAGGACATGAAACTGATTATTCCTATAAGTGATACGCATATATTCGGTTATCAGAGACATTTACTGTTCACCTACATTAAGCTGTGCAAAACTCAGCATATTTGGCTCAGTGCTTGTCAGCTAGAGCTCTTGGAACAACGGGGGACAGAGGAATTGTAAGAATAGTGGGCTGAAGGGAAGCAAAGAGAGACGGAGCCTGCACCAAGACAACACATTTGGATGTATGTGAGGAGGGGAGAAGTGGATATTAACAGAGCTTCCTGCAGTCATACTTCCATATGGTTAAACAGCTGTGCTTGCTTCTCTCAGAAACATACTTTGCTGTTACTGCCTGGAGCCTGATTCATTCAGAGTTACACTCTGGGCCACAGCATAATAAAGCAAAACCTTACTTTCTATTTGGATTGTAATAATTAAGTGCCAGGTACAACATTAACAAGCTTCTAGGCAACTTAAAAATCTAACTCCTCTTTCCATCAGCATTCTTAGTACATGATTGAATTGGTCTTACACTTTATTGGAGCCATATGAAAATGGATCTATATCTTATGTGTACTTAGATTTCTTTATTTTGATTACTTAGAAGTAGAAAATGAGAAATATTATTACTATACACATCAGCTAAATCACTCCAGCTGGATTGTGAAGCTGAATAGTACACAGCAATGCCAGCAGAAGAGAGTGAGGAAAAAAAAAACTAAATGTGTAAAGGAGAAACCAACCAAGGAAGATATTCAGTGTCCTGAAGAATTTTTTCCTTAATACCTGATTCTTTTTAGACTCATAACCACAAAACTGAACAGACCATTCATTCCTATTTCTGTATGTTAAAGTCTGCAGGTTAATGTATACTATTCAGATTGCAGAATCTTATCTTCCAAATCTTGATCAATGTCTATTTTAACTGTTGTCTTTGCTTTTGATGAAGGAGGGAGGAAGAGCATGTGGTCATATGCTATTTAGTTTCCCCCTTTTCTTCAGTCACTTCCTCTTTACTTTGCTATTATTCTTCAGGCAAGAATTATCAAATAGCATACATTAGCCAGACTTGAAGTTGAAACAAGGAATTTGCTCAGAATATTTTAGGAAGATGGTGGAACTTTAGATGCAGCTAAGAGATGTTTGCTGACATCTCCACACTGGGTGATATTGGATAAAAAAGAGTCATAAAGAGTTGTAAGATGATGTTAGGTTTGGATTTGAGCTATTTTTCTGGGAACTTGGTCCTGAGATAATACATTCTGAATTGAATATCTTTTTTTCTGTAGCACTTTTGTTTTTCTCCACTTGTATTTAGTACAAGTATTACCAATACATCTGTGTACACAATACAGGTAAGATTAATTAATATATTCTATGACTTTTCCATAAAGCTGCTACAGCTGGCAGTGCTGGCAATCAGGAGTAATTCCTGCAGATTCTAATTAGCTTCAGATTGTGAGGAAAGAACCAAACCCAAACACTACCAGAAATGACATCTCATATTTGAAAGTGTCTGTAACCAGAAAGGTATTCCTACTCTGCAAGTTCCCAGGAAGGAATTTCTCTTCTAAATATTGTAAGGGAGAGAAGAAAATTAAAATATAGCACCATTTTCATTGCATTTCAAAATCTTTAGGAAGACATACACTCACATTTATCTGCTCCTTTCAGAACAAAAACAAAAAGCCAAACCTGTTAGAGTATTCCAAATTAAGACCATAACTTTAAGTCCATTTTTCTTAGTCACATGCTGACTCAAAAAAATATATGTTGTGGAAAAACATGGTACTGCATTACATTTCTTAACCATCTCTTCATACAGTTATAAAGATTATATCCAAAAGAAGTTGATTTGACTAACGTATGCATTCCTTAAGATATGATCAAATGTTTCACAACAAGGAAGAAAAAAAAAAAGAACAGTGCTTGTGAAGAACTCGAGAACTTTTTGTGAAAATATCAAGAACCACTAGAAATATCACTGAATATCATAAAAGATATAAACAGAGAAAACTTCTCTTTAAAAGCACAAGTAAAAAATTATCTCTAAAAAAACTTCAAAAAGAGAAAGTAAGATTATTAAGATTATTTCAATTACGCAGATCACATCATGAGTTTTCTAAAGAAAGCATAATCCTCTACTAAAGCAGCTTCTTCAATTTGACAGTACAAGTTTTGGTTTGAACCCAGAAACCTCTTGTGGAGCTTTAATATCATCTTAACTAAACTTAAGAAAAAAAAAAGAAACTTTGCACAGGTTATTTTAAGCATTCCAAAAAGAACTTTTGCAAGTTTAATACATCAGGGTTTTTCTGTGCATGCATACAACCAATGAATAGACAGATGTTATAATTACAAAATACACCAGAGTTTGGCTAAGCTACTATACCAAAAAGAGAATAAATAAGAGTGCTTACCCTTATCCCACACTCACTGTAAAACTGCAAAGAAGGGATCTCCAGAAAGAGACCCTTCCCCACCGATAGTCAGCTCTTAAATGGACCAAGGAGAGGTGCAGCCAGGCTCCACCCCTTCCATCACACAGCTGAACTGCCTTCACCTGTGCTCCTCTGGCTGACTCAGTGCTCGCCTCAGGTGGTCTATCAGAGATTCAGGCTGTGATTCAGCAGTTGTCATACAGCATGCAACAGTCCAAACTTGTGAATATGTCTTTCTTTTTCATCACTTTCTCCATATATGCTTTTAATTTACTAGTTATACCTGTACAGCAACTATTGATACATCTGGACTCTGTTCTGGTAAACAGGAATTAAAATGCATCAGAACTATGTTTGCAATTGTGGTATATTTTGCATCACTTGAAATTTTTCAATTTGTGACTCCATTTTCATCTGACATAAATCCATGACCTGCAAAATTTCAAATGGAATGTATAGAGGTGCAATCAGACATTCAACTCAAAGAGAAATCAGATTATGTCTCTTTACCAGTCCTTCACAAACTCCATCTGGTCAGAGAGAAGCACTCCTCACTGCACAATCACGCCTCATTCATGTCATCGCTTTTTAGTTCTAGGCACACATTTATGAATGACTGTATTCAAAGATGAAGCACAGGAAAAGTGCCATCAAAAATCCCTGACAAACACCTTGAGAACTCACTGAGAATTGCAGCCACTACCATCAAATCAGACTGATACATTAATGTCACAAAAACAATGTCAAATATGTAGTTTTATGTTTGTATTGCTCTCCCTTTAAAAAAAAAAATGTTTTAATAAAACAAATTTTGTTACTTATACACATTAACTATGTTACATATAAGGGCTGTTCTGTAAGTAATGCCTCCTGTTTTATTACGTTGACACACAACCTCAGAGGCAGATGTTGGCGGTATGGCAGTAGAGGTTGAACCTTCCCACCAATATTCCATTGCATGTTGTTGCTGCGTGACAGATGGCAGCAGAGCAGCAGTCTCACAGAATGCTGTCTGACATGGAAGTGTGTAAGAAGAAAAGGCATGGAATTGAATTCCTCATGCAGAAACAACTGCCCCCACTGACATTCATCGACTCTTGCTGAATCTTTCTGGAGGCCAAACTGAATGTGAGCACAATGAGGTGGCAGGCGATGCATTTCAGCAGTGGGAACAGTGACAGTGGCTGGCACAGGCTCTTGTTCATCACTGGTAAAAATGCATAGCTGATGATGGCGACTCCACACATTTCCCAAACTGTTACAATTCTTTAAGAAGCTTTATTATAGCTAGAAGAGTGTAGCTTTTGAACTAATGATTTCATAGCTGTTTTAGCAATTTCCCTTCTTCCACCGCCTCATGTATCCCCATTATCTTGAGGTCTTACTGTCCTCTAGTGGTGAAGGACTATGACAAGTAAAGTTACAGGAGCATTTAAAAGTGGATATTCTCTCCATTACAACTTTCATCTTCTCCACATAATTTTCAGGCCTCTCAGCAAATGAATTCCTAAAAGCAGCTGCTGATCTCAACCGGATAGACAGTAATAAAGTTACTAAGTGTAACGTAGTAAGTTCAATAGTTTCTTGAACTGTGAACTATGGCCCAAGGCTGAATTCGTTAGGTAGTGTACAATTAACCACCAGTATATTGTATTATTTTTAAAAGGAAAATCAGCTTCCTTAGCAATTCTCATAAACATGCCCATAAAAATAAAGTGTGTTCAGACTTTAGATGGCTTTTTCAGCCTATTTCTTCAAAGTGCAGTCTTCTAAGTATTACATTTGTTACAAAGTTTTGCTTATAAATGCACACTTCTAACTTGCCAATCTAATGATGAATTGTAATAATTTCTGAGTTATTCTATCTCCTATATCCATTTCCAGCACTTCAAAGTACTAGAACCCCCAGGTAAGCCATTTCATGTTGGTCACAGAAAGACCGTGCAAGGCAGAAGTCAGTTACAGTGATGGATACAGCCACAGCCATACAGGGTCACATGAAAAAAAAGAAGACATCTACCTTGTCACCATCACCAGACAGCTGCTGGACCCTACAGACCTCTCAGAGCAGATGGTGAACTACGGAACTGCTGATCAGCTCTTGCTTAGCATAAGGGTGTCAGAAGAGGACAGACGCAGATTCCTTTCATGCAGATGAACAAAATGCAGGCACCATAACTGGGCAGAGGCAACAGTGATTTCCACACTCAGAGCTTAAGAGCTGGCAGTTTCAAACTTTTTTTTTGGAACAACTAGATTATGAGATTCAAAACAGATCGTCTGAATCGGAAAATCCCCCACAACTTAATTGTGTTTTATATCAAGACTCATATTACACAGAAGTAAGAAGCTGAACAAAAAGATCAGCCATTTCGCTTATTCAGACTTGCTGCACAGCTTGGAGCACTGGTGAAAGCCAACGTGTTAATAAAAGGCAGTCCAATAACAAGCAACCTTCTAGAGCAAGCTATTCACTGACACTGAGAAGAAGTAGAATCATATATAATCCAGGAGAAAACTAACTTTTGAAAAATTACCATCCAACTTTTCACTGCACATCCTCAAGTAGATTCACACTTTTAATCACACTTTATCAGACACAGATACTTTTGAATAATAAATGAAATCATAAAAACTGATCAATTTGATTCAGGGCAGGCACAGACAACTCATAGTCTCCTACAGAGGTCTGCTTACAAACTTTGTGACTGTGATATGTAGACATGAAGGACATTCCAGTATCTCAGTTAAAAAAAAAAACATTGTTTTGTAGATTTGTTCAGCTGTCATTTATGTAAAGCACCTTTTGCTTATAGATCATCTATTCTAATCATAACAACTCTTATTTTTAACAGGTTGTCAATCTCTGGCAAGCTATAACCTCAAAACCTTCATCAGATTCCTTCTGTCTTTCTATATCCTGCCCCTGTACACTAAATTTTACAAGGATATGTAATTGTATACTGGATACACTATTTTGTAAACTGAACATAGGCTAGCTTGGAGCTCATCTTAACAGTGTATGTAAATAACCAATCTTATTTCAGAAAGCTAGTTCTTGCAGCTTTACTTACCTCCGTAGGACAGATCCTCAGATCCTTAGATTTCGTTCATTAGCTGTTGACAACTCCTGAAATTAAACAAAGTCTAAAGTGAAAAACTTCAACAATAAATCATGTGATATTATATTATACATTAAAGACAAAATCAATCTCTCTAGAGATGTTATGTAAATATTTCTAAACTTCAGCCCAGTATATTTTAATTAACAGCAAACAACGTTTTAAGACAAAGTCAGGGCAGCTAATCAGAATTCAGCAAAGGGAAATGGCACGCAATGTGATGCTGAGCAATAAAACTGGGAAGTAGACTTTTCGAAGTAGCCAGAGCTTAGAGACTGGCTGAACAATGGCCTGCTCATGGGAGGTGCTGAGTGACTACCTCTGCATCACTTGTTTATTTCTCCACTATTTTACTTATTAAACTGTATTTACCTTGACCCACAAGTTGTTGGGTTCTTTTTTTGCTCTTCCAATTCTCTCCCTCATCCTGCTCAGTGAGGGTTGTGAGTGAGTGAGAAGCTTAATTGCTGGCCAGGGTCAATTTACCACAACATCTCACACATGAATTGTTTTAACTGCCTCTCTGTATTTGCTAAATAATAGCAATGTTAAACATGAAGGTGCTGAAGTGTCCCAAATGTCCATGCTGAATGGTGAAGAACATTATGACACAATTCACCCAGCATCGATGTCCTCAAAGGATTAAGGGTTGGGTTGCTCCAAACGAAGCTTAAAAGAATAATGTAATAATGTGAGTCCATTTTTAAAGAACTTCCTATGATACTTCATCCAGTGAACAATTTTCTGGGTCAGTTCATTTCAGAAAGTTAAGACAGCTCATCCTTAGATTTTCTGTGACTCTACTTCCAACATTTCTGCAAATATATGAACAGCTGGATGTCTTTCTGAATTGTTCTAAGGGGTGGTTTAAAGCAATACTTGTTTGTTTACAAATTAGACATTGAAATAAGATATTCTAATCTCTAAACATTAGAGAAAACCAACCCATGAAACCACAGGGAAGCAAGTATAATCTTTCTGTTCAGAAAGGCTTGTGCTAATATAGTCTCTACTACTCATTAAATTTCTGTAATGCATCCAGAGGCAGCATTAGAGAAACAATATCTACAGCCTTCTGAGCTATTTGCTACTGTTAAATGGATATTAGAAGGAATCCAGGAGCTCTTACAATAATGTAGTTTTTCTTCTGGGCTTAAAGCCTGGAGATTTTGACTTTCAAAGACTCTGAACTTGACAATAATTCAGTTTAGGCATCAGCATGAACATATTTCTGATTATTTCTAGAGCTCAGACAGCAGAATCTTGCTTTGTTACAGAATTACAGGCTCATTGGTTGAATCACCTTGGACATTATTGTCATTATTAGAGAAGACAGAAGCTCTCTTCTTACAGTTATAACATATTATATATACATTTTTTTTTTTCCTCACTGAAATGGATTTTAACTGGAACAGAAAACCAATATAATCACAAATGATATTCAGACACTAAATTATTTTCCCCCAGGAAAACATAGGGGGAAAGTCATCCAAAGTCCCATTAGTGGCAAATAGCACATTTTCTCCAAATCCAGAATTTCTACTAAGGGAAATACTTCTCCTCTATTACACAAAAGAGTAATTTCTCCCTTAACAGATTTTGAGATTCAGAACTGAGTCACTGGAAATATATTTCTAGGAGATTTCTTCTTTTTTTCTCATATTAAGATTGGTCATGGCTAGCACATAAGAGAGAAAAAACACTCCTTGAAAGTAGTGACATTATTGTTTTTCATGCTGACAGTAAAAGAAGTTCTGGGATTTGGGAACAAAATATTATCCTGACTTTAATGGATATATATCTCTGAAATACCCAGGATGGTTGAAGACACAAGACAAAGCTTTTGAAGAGGGTGACAGAGGAAAATGGTACCTAA